TGGACCTCCATGTTGGCCTGATTGGGAATGCTGCATATCTACGTTACAAGCAGTTAAAAAGATATTACAAGTTATTCATGTGCCTGGATAGGCACTTTCAATATTTCACTCTATTCAAACTTAGACAAGTGGGTTACAATTGTAATCATATCCAGTATTAGTAGTCATCAATTGTTCTGTAATGGGTTGTATAAAGTTGTTAAGAAATTATAAAGTTGACTGAAAATTAACATTTTTACAATACCATTGAACGTGTTTCTTTATGATTATGGTATTTTTTCATAGAATACCACAACAAATGACTGTCGTGATATATGCCTTCGTGATATATGCGCTCGTGATATACCACAAAATGGTCCCGCTTGCTTCAACAAAAAAAGGGTATACATTCGTAATAAAAGTAATATTTAGAAGCAAATATTATGTAAAGAAGGGTGTTGTATTAAAAGAGTAGGTGTCCTAAAATCTAAACTTAAATTTTGAATGGAGTTACCACGTAATTATAAATATTCACCAAACATTCAACTTAATTGGCTTCAACGTTTGGGGTAATGGTCATGGTAAAAGGTCAATTTAGAAACAAATAACAATTATAATTACTCAGTTTGCATTAAAAAGTAGTCATTGACTTTTTTATAACAAATCATGGCCATTCATTCATGGCCACTCTATTTTCTCGAGTGATAATATGAGGCGTTAGAAGATGTAAACTAGCAACTAATATTGGCTATAAAAATGAGTACGTATGAAATTCCAGTCGATTTTATTGTTAAAGATACAGAAATGCCAGCGTAACTAAGGCCACATATATTTTGATCTCTACTATGATAATAATACAAACAAATTTTATAGAGCTATGTTTATTAGTCGACATGTTTGGATCGATGTTGTATAACAATGCACGTGTATTGACTTTATATGTGCTCTGTGTAACAAATTTTGAACTACGAAAGCTATTCTTGGGTCCAAACGTGAAATGTATGAACCCCATACTGGGTCCAAATTTATATGTGGTCTGCTTGTGTTCTGTTGTATGGATCACACTGTAACTGCTAAAATAACTATTTTGTAACCGTTTTCAAACATACTGTGACTTTTTAATAACTATTTTGTAACAACCTACAAACACACTGTAACATGCAATCATCAAATATGGAGTTTTATATTAATTTTCAATCTCTAACTTCCCAATTAAGTATTTTGTAACAGTTTTCAATAACATTCAACTTTTTAATAACTATTGTAACTTACAAACACTTCGTAACTAACAGTTTTCAAATATGGAGTTTTATATTAATTTTCAAACTGTAACATCCCAGATAACTATTTTGTAATAGTTTTCGAACACACTGCAACTTTCTAATAACTATTTTGTAACAACCTACAAACACACTATCAACAAATAGTCAAATAATTTTCAATCTGTAACTTCCCAAATAATTTTTTGATAACAGTTTTCAAACACACTGTAACTTTTCAATAACTATTTTGTAATAGTTTTTAAATATAATATAACTAACAATTTTTCAAACACACTGTAACTTTCTAATTGGCTTAACATGGCATTAGGCTTATCTGGATGTAACTTGAATAAAGTCACACTTAATTATTATACTCAATTCAGTTTGTCAGATCTGCTTCATATGCAGCTGACATTGGTGTATTATGGCAGTATGCCTACTAACAACAATGTTATACGACTCATTTAGCTCAGCCTGCAGTTACATGACGACATTACCAATCCATAAATGAGCCACATGTTCTCCAGAATGGAATATAATACACGCATATACAATAATACATCTAAGTGAAAGTTACAAATTGAACATTTGTACTGTTGGCATAGGTTCTATAATTGTAAGTTCTATGGCAATAAATAAAATGGTCACCGCAAAATTTGAATTTTCATTTATTTATAATATGATTATCCAAAAGATCACTACATTTATGTATTTACATGCATGTGATTTAATTCAAGATAACTTATTTATTCAATGTAATATTGGGATTGATTTCATATATTAACTGTAACTGTATGTAGTTACAAGTTGATAAACCTATCAATGACCCATAATGTTGACAATAATATGCAGTAATTACGTCAAACCAAACAATAAATTTCATTAACCATGGAACAGGCCCATTTACACCGATATCGCCATGCCCGCTGTTCATCATCATCCCTACCAAATCAGGGGGTAGTTCAGTACGCCACGCACCATATTATTCTCGTCCGGATCATGTCGTCCAACCTTTAACATCAAATTAAACCAACCATTTCAATAGCAAAGCCACATAATACATACACTAATACTTTTTATATGAAATGAGGTAAACAATAAATAACATGTTACCAACTTTCCTTTTCCATAAGCCCCAAGATTCTTAATCTCCAATGCATCCCTTTCAGAAATCAGAGCATCTGTCCATTTAAACTGGAGTTTTACACAGACAATTGCACTTCAGTTCCATTTTGCTTTCCCCATTTATTCTTAATGCATTACAAAGTAATAATATAAATAATATATCACTTTCAAATCTTAGTAACAATAGTTATGAAAACTTGTAACTTATTTTTCACACTCTGTTTGTCAAAATTAATAGTAGGTTAATTATTCTGTCTCATCAATTCCACTTACAATCTACTCTCACTCATTTATCAAGTTTGATGGGATTAACTTCTTCTTCTATTTCTTGTCCTACTCTATAAATATGAGTTAATGTAACAATTAGGAGGTACCAATTTCACAGTTATATTCATGAAATTTTACAAAGCAGTTCTTATATTGTAATTCCTAACTCAGTGTATGTTACAATTATTCAACTTCATGTCCACGCACACTAGCAAAGTAAAACTTGTAACCTTTTCCCACATTGAGTGTGCCAAGTTAAAAACTATGTTATTCATTTTGCCTACCCTGTTCAGATTGTCATCTGCTGTCCTAACTATCAAGTTTCAAACAATTAACCTCTTCTTCTATTTATCCTGTGATTATGCAAATACGAGTTAACTAACAAATAATAGGTAGCAATTTTACAGTATGCTTACGCAATATTACATATCAGTTCTTCTACTGTAACTGTTGACTAACAGCATGTAACAGTTATTCAACATGGTGTCCAACCCCACTAGCTAAAAAAACTTATAACTTTTTTCTCTGCAATGCGTCTACCAATCTGAGTGTCATGTTATTTTATTCCGCATAATAATTTTACTCCGTGTATTTATTTAATCATGTGAAATGTCTCTTATATAACATGCTGTAAGAGGCATTTTTAACGAAATTATCTTTGTAATGCTTTTTCTTTCGCTTTGTATGTTGCCATGAATAGTAGGTACAAACTACATAAAGTATAATCTGCACGCAGGCACTACTAATCAACAAAATCTATAAGAAATTCATAAAAACAATCAGTACCCTTGTTATATTATTACCCAAGCAATTTTTCATCCCATTCACACGATTTTGCAAACACTTGGCGCACTAAATTTTCCTCACCTATCCTCCCCTATGTTGGCCACCAAAATACCTACGTTCTTCTAATCCAGACTAGGAGACTAGTGAACAGTTTGTTCCATCAAAACCATTAAAAATCAATTGACCTATTCATTCACAACATTGTCCAACAATGACAACTACTCACATCACTCCATGACCTTGTCAAATTTTGAAAATTATGTGATACCATTATTGTTTTGTTACCTGGATATTTCCTGTTTTATCTCTTCTCCGGATGCGAAACTCTACTCTTCTGTCGCTACTTCTTCCTTTTTCTCGCTGTAATATACCTTAGTGCAATTGTATTTTCCCTGCTTTCCTTTATACCTAGTCTGCCTTCAACCACTTTCTTATTTTGCCTCCAGCCACTTTCTTGTATTCTCTGTTTGCTTCCATTTTCTGATGTTATGGATGAATGAAAATTGGCAATTATTGTGGAGGGAAAGCAAATGAACTTTTTGTTTGATGATTCATTTGAGCGGGATTTTGTGGAACGGAGCTAATGCTTCATGACGAGGTCCGTCAGAAGCGTCAAAGTTTTTTTCCATTACTAATTTATGTGACGTCATTTTTTCACCTTCCCAAAACTAGCCGACGTGGTTATTTCTAGTCCTCACGGTTGAGTTTGTGAGGGGACCGTTCAGGGACGGTCATCACCTAACTTACAATTTACTTAACCCCCCCTTAAGTAGGTTTTCTTGGAAAATCACTATAAAATTTCTTAAGCAACAGCACTTATTTATTTTTTGACAAGCCCCATACATGGAGGAGGGATGCTATTCCTAAATTTTAGTGAAATCTATGAGAAAACAAAGAGGGATATAAACTTTATCTTCAAAATTACATGAGGAAAAAAGTAATAAATCAAGAGTACTGTTCCCTAACAAAAAGCCTATGAAAAGCGTAAGATACAAATAACAATATTTGAAAAAGAAGGTTCGCACCTCTTGCCAGTCTTGGAAGTTCTGATTGAGCAACAAGACTTAAAACATGAGATAAACTTACTGAAGTAACTTTTATCATAATTTGAGGATTTTAAAAAGGGATAATTTCACAAACCTCCCCTGAGATTTCTGACACTTGCACTGAGACCCCTCCAAGTTTTAAAAATTTCACCTAGCTCCCTTGCTTTTCAAATTTTGGTAACAATTCAGTCCAATTAGGATTAAAATATTACTATCATGATAGAGATGACATTTATATTTCATGAATACCCTCTTCCTCCCTATATTACTACAAGATTGCTTGTTATTAAAAAGGTGGAGATGATTATCAAAGTTGAAGGGGTAAAAATGCAATTCAGGAATATTTTTTCTGTTACATGGAGACATCTTCAGTAGCTGATAGGAATAGCCAACGGCAACCTGCAATCTTCCAACGGCAAAAAATTTGGAAACCTCTAACTGCATATAAACATCTGGAAAGCACATTTTATCCTCAAGCCAAAGGATTGTGAGGAGCATTAACAGAAGGCTATAGTGAAAACATTTAACAGATTCAATGTCCTCTTCAAGCCAACCAGCAGAATCCTGGAATTCACCCACAACTTTCACTATTAAAAACAGATATTACTACATCAATCGCAAGGCCACAGTGAAGATATCAGAGAGCAAAAAGAATCCGGACAAATTGTATTTCTCCTGCTCAAAATCATTTTATTCAGGATGGGATGGGTGTGTTGGAACTTTTGCGTCCATGGGTAACTCTCATTTTGCCAGGGACTGTAAAATAGATGTCTTCCTCCTCAAATCACAATTAAATGCTATCAGAGATTCGATACAGGATATAGGTATCATGGATATCGCAACTGCAAAACTTAGCGGACCAGTAGAATGTGAATCAAGACGTCAAAGAATTTCTGCTACCCACAAAAAAAAAAAAAAAGCATTAGAACAAGCAAGAAAAAGCACAAGTGTTGTGTAGTCTTGTTGATTAAAGATCAAATGAGGGCAGCATCTTTTCCCCATGAAACTAGAACACTATATGTGCGAAACAAGTCAGTCACACCATCTATATGTCTAATTCGAAGTCATACAAATGAATGCACGGTCTCTGTTAGGTCTGCCTTTTTACAAATATTATGCTCAGGTCAGGGAAGCAGATTTATGTAGGCGGCCATTGTGGCCCGAGCTGGAAACGGCATTGACAAGTGTTAGCAGATGACACCGGGTGTGAAGCAAAGCATAGACCGAGAGCCGAGGAGTTAGGAGCCTTTGATGAAGGAGAGGAAGCATTGGAAGCCGAAGATGAGAATCCTGATGATGCTGCAGTTGAAAAAACTGTCACTGGGGTAGCACTTAACTTACTTTGCATTTGCCACGCCCATTTTTGGGGTCCCTGTGAAGAACCAACTTCGAACCTATTCTCAATTACTCTTTCCTGCCAAATCAGTTGTAACTGTTATATTGCTGATGGATTCAAAGGAGGTTGGTTCATAAACCACAAATAAAAAACAAATATCACGGGAAAAATTAATCAGCTCCACAGTCTATTAACTATCTCTGCAATCAGTATACAGCTAGCTAAAATGGTGCATGCATTTTGAGGTTTTTGAGGTTAATATGCACGATAAGAAGGAAAAATACAATTCTGCGGACAAATTGGTCATTTCAGCGCTTTGCATGTCAGCAATGGACCCCAATACTCTATCAGGGGAGTTAGGTGAAATTTTTAAAACCTAGAGGGGTCTCAGTACAAGTGTCAGAAACCTCAAGAGAGATTTGTAAAATTATCCCTTTAAAAAAAACTATTCACAAAGAGTAGTTGACTTTTTGAAAAATAAAGCAACTTTGTGACGAGTAAAATTAGTAGTTTTTCTTCTTAATAATTCACTCAACATGTGATCTTTTAAAACTCAGATTAGTCATAATAATATGGGAAAATTTGTCAAATTGATCCCTAATATTTTCATAAAAAACTTTTTTAGTCCCTAAAATTTAAAATCAGTTAGAATAGTTCCTAATATATAAATTATGAGCTAGTTTGGTCCTAATGCTTATATTTACTCTTTTCTGACTAAAAATAGCACACTGGCGTAATTTCAAAGGCAAAATTGAAAACAATAGTTAATCCATAATTTTCCACCATTCTCTTTCTTTCTGATGGCAGATCCCTCCGCTGATTGGGAATTTGGCAAAGCTCCGAACTTTGGCCCTCTCTTACAATGGTCTAAGTGGTCCAATACCAGAAAGCATTGGTAAGCTATCGAAACTTGAGGAAGTGCATCTAAATTCTAACAACTTCTCTAGCTCTCTTCCTTCCGGCCTTGGAGATCTCAGCAGTCTTGGAACAATGGATCTTACTTCAAACCATTTTTCGGGTTCTATACCTCATGCTATTGGAAATTTGATGAATCCGGTGAACTTGTATCTAGAGAATAACTTACTAACAGGCTTTATACCAAAAAGTATTGGTAACTTGCAGGCACTCCAAGATCTTAAGCTATCAAACAATCTGTTGACTGGGGGAATTCCGTTTTCCATTGACAAGTTAAGTTCTTTGCGCTCTATTTTACCGGGTAATAATCATCTTGCAGGAAGGATTCCTTCTTTTTTTGGGCAACTGAAGTCACTCGTTACACTGTCCCTTGAGAATAACCAGCTTGAGGGGCCAGTCCCATCCAACTTAGGCCAGTTACAATCATTGGCAGAGTTAAATCTTGGTGGGAACAGATTATCTGGTAGACTACTAAAAACTATTGGCCTGCTCCCACTTTTCACCTTATGCATCTCGAACAACATGATTGAAGGACCACTACCTGTGGAGATGTCTTCTCTCACGAATCTTTCAAGACTCTATCTATCATTCAATCCGCTGAATCTCTCGTCAATTCCAACTTGGCTTGTGGATATGCCATCGATAAACGCGATTCACTTGGCTGGATGTGGAATAGAAGGTGAAATTCCAAGGCACCTACAAAGTGCTGCAAGCAGACGGGCGGAATTGGACTTGTGAAAAATTATGGATTAACGAATGTTTCCAATTTTACCCTTGAAATTAGCGGGAAAAAAGAGCAGATATGAATATTAGGACCAAACTGGTTCATAATTTATATGTTAAGAACTATTCTGACTGATTTTAAGTGTTAGGCACTAAAAAAGTTTTTTGTGAAAATGTTAAGGATCAATTTGGCAAATTTCCCTAATAATATGAAACTTTTCACCGAAGCTATACATCAAAGTGGTTTCGTGTCTAAAAAGCCAAAAACTAGTTAGGTCTAGCTAAAACATTAATTTTTCGTTTGGAAAAATAACTTTTGTGTTTGAATTGTTTTGACTTAAATTTCAATTCATTCTGCTTAAACCAAATTGGTGGGATAATTATTAAATTAAACTGGTAGCCAATTGGGTTCACTAAGAATTTTTTTTTTTTTTTAAATGTTGGGCCTAGTTCACAAAAGATTTGATGGTCTAACTCTTTTATTTTGATGTCACAATTGTCATTTGATGAGTGCATTCAAAATTGGCAGGCTCCTTTACAAGATGGCTTCGCATGTAGAAGACAAGGTAAAAAAGGGAGGAGAGGCACCAAAAGAAGCCTGCTCCTACATTCGTAGGGTAATTATTTCCTAAGCCTTGAATGTTCATTGAGTTGCCTCTGACGTATCAAAATCTAAGGTTGTCCTATGATCAAAATGGCTCAACTTCTCAATGAGTCTTATTTAGTTATTTTTGGAAATTTTTTATAGAAACTTGATAGTGTGTTATATACACTGTCAGTGTAATCTTAGATAACCCTAGATTAGTTTTAGAGTAAATTTTATATATACTATCAGTGTATACACTATCACGATTGGATGGATAACACATGAACAAATTTTGAATTTCAAATTTAAATTTAAATTAATCTTTTCTACACTGACAGTATATACACTGTCACCATTGAATGAATGATATGAAATTTGAATTTGAAATTCAACTTTTGTACATATGTCATGAATCAATTATTTGTAATAGTGTATACACTGTCAGTGTATATAAGATTTACTCTTTAAATTTTGCACATGTGTCATATATTTAATGGTGATAGTATATACACTGGCAGTGTATATAAGATTAATTCTAAATTTTATTCCATGTGACAAATAAATAGTTTTTAGCAGTTTCTATTTATTTGGATAGTAGTCAGGAATTTCTTATTTGTACGTGTCTAGAAACTCTCAAAACTATTGTTTTCTATTAGAGTAAATATTATTTACATTGACAATATATATACTATTATCATTGGATTCATGACATATATGCAAAAGTTGAATTTCAAATTCAAATTTCGCATAGTTGTCATTTATCCAATGCTTAGAAAAGATTAATCCTTCCTATTATTATATATGTTAATCGAGTAATGTGTTCTTGTTGAATCACGTTAAATCTTATGTGTCACTTCTATATATCTCCTATGACTTGTATTTCATTGCATTCTTGATTTCTTAATAGTGGTTTATTTCGCATTTGGATCCCAACACGTAAGATATAAGCAAAGTGACTAGATGAGCAAGAAAAGTTTCAAAAATAGATCACACCTCTACCTTAGTTTTGTTACCGTGACAAGTTATGGTAGTAGCTCTTCAAGCATGTGGCATACCTACGGTACATTTAGCAATTGTTATTAAACCCAATCCGGCCCGGAGGTTCAACCGATCAACTTGGTGAACTGGCCATGAAACCGGGTTGGGTTGCTAATTGAATCATTTGAGCAAATTAACGGACCGACGGTTCGACCGATTAACTTGGCTGAACTAAACAGTTTTGTTGGAACCCGGGTTGTTGTGCGAAAATTTTTTAGAAGATGTTGAAGTGATGATTCAAACTTGAAACTCCAGTATAGAAATAAAGTGCAATCACCACTATACCAACAACCCATGTGTTGCAATCACCACTGTCCAGTTCGACCGATCAACTCGGCTGAACTGGACAGTTTTGCAAGGAACTCGTGTTGTGCGAAAAAATTTTAATAGATGTTGAAGTGATGATTCAAACTTGAAACCTCTGGTATAGAAATAAAATGCAATCACCACTAGACCAACAACCATGTGTTGCTTGTTTGGTCCTTCTTATATTATATATTAAACTTTTATTCTAATTTTATTTCTCCAAAACAAAATTTTCTTGGAATCTTTTAATAATTTATTATTCCCCAAATTCTATAAGTTATGAAATGGATTTAAAAAATAACATATTACACAATTCATTTAAAAGGCAAATATCATTCTTAATAATCTTTTGCACTTAAAATTCGTAAATAAACTAGATAATTATACTTAGATAAAATTTTATATTTGAAGTTTGGTGAATTACTAATTAAATTTAGCTTTTATTAATTCTTACAAGAATTAATGATTCTATAATAAATTAGACTAACTGAGCATTTACTATGGCATAGTTTATTATAGTTTCAACCATATCAAAAATTATGAGACATAATATTTAAGTATATTTAGTGACCCATTGGTTGGGCTACTCACCCACTGGTTGAACTAATAACCCGTTGACCTGTCTCTTTCGCCGGGTCCCTTCCCAAACCGGATTTAATAACTGTGCATTTAGCTCAAGGAGACGGTTCGCCTGTGACATATTTGACAATTGTTGGTTAACTAGTTTTTGGTCGGATTCTGTTGCTGTGAGTATTACTACATGTTGCATTCATATTAGTAATTAAGATTTTAGTATACTAAAAATGTGCCAAGTTGTTCAAAAGTACCAAGCTGCGTTATTTTTTTAAGGTTTTTTCCATTAGAGAATGGCAAATGTGACTGTTTTTGGCCAAGTGAATTAGGAGTGTGAAAATGATTCTAGCTGTTTAGCAGAATTTCAATGGTCTATGCACGCAATAAAGAATCTCGTAGGGTGTCAAATGATTGGATTGTATGAACAGGGAACTTTGGTTAGAATGGTGGCATAGATGGAACCAGAAAATATATATTGAGAGGAGTGTTTTAGCTTATCTAAATCTGGATTCAAATTCCCTTTTCATTCCCTGTTTCTTAAAGTTCCACCCCTGCTTTGTTTTTAAAAAAAAAAATTTAAAAAGTAAAAAAAAAAAAACTTATCTACATCTAAATATATAATTTTAAAAGTTTAGAGTTTTTTTCAGGAGCAAAAGTTCAATATTTAAAACTTTTGAAATTTTTATAGGAGTAAAATTGAATTTTTTTCAAACCTTGGGAGGACGTTGTCCCCTGTCTAGGTGCACCCTTGAATGATGGCACATGGAGATTGGAGAGGGAATTTTGGTTAAAATGATGGCATTCGCGTAATTCCAGACCGAAGTGGCTGGCTAAAATTCCCGATTGTGGCTATCATTTCTCCAAAGAAGCCACGGGGCTGAAAAACTGCTTAAATTTTTTTTGTTTTTTAGTTTAACTTCTAAAATCATCCTAAATATGATACTCAATCGCTTTGCTCTAATTACTAAGGTTAAATATTTACTAGGGAGGATTAATTTTTCCTACAATATATATATACATATATTCATGCATTTAGATACATGTCACATCATTTCAATTTAAATTTAAACACTAAATTTAACATATGTAACATATATCTAAACCCACTAACGTACACCGACAATACATGAAAGATTTTACCCAAATATAGCATGATTTAAAGTTACATTTTAATGTTCCACATCCACTAGGTCAGGGATTTCTTGGATGGAACTTTTGTAAAAGTTCTACTCAAACTTTTGACTATAGAATCTATATTTATACATGTTTGTGGGATGCAAAGGTATTTACAGAATGCGTCTAAACAATAATTGTCTTAAATTTACCACCCAAAATCAGCCTTGCTTTGCATTAGAAAACTACACAGCATCTAGAGATTGGAAAAAGGACCCCAGAGGAGCAAAGGAGATTCCTCTCTCTAAGTAGAGGTGTTTCTCACTCTTAGTAGAAGTGCTCTCTCTTGGGATAAGAGCCACTTCCCCCTTGGTGGGAAAGTTAGCAAAATCAAACATTTTCAAACTACCACATTCCCGCAATTTCTGAGATATCCCCATTTCCAAACTGGACTGGAATTAAGGCTAAAGAATGCAGCACAATCACTCGGTGAATGTTGCATGAAAAGCAGAAGCTCAAGCGTCAGAAGGAATAACTCTATGGTAAGCATTTGCCAGACGTATTGAGGTGCTGTGTCTTTCATTTCTTTGTCTTGTTTTTAGAGGTGCTTGCGACCAGAGTTTGCTTGCGCATTTCAATCTTCACTTTCCTCTCTAATCAGTAGCCTCATCTCTTTATCAAATAGTTTTATTAGTTCGCCTTTCTTATATTTTTACCTGCTCCAACTCTGCTACAACTAGTGTTTTCCTGGGTGTGGAGTGGTAATACAGTCCAGAAGTGTCTGACATTATCTATGGAGGGAGACTTGTCAAAGTTGTTAAAAAAGTTTTCACTGGAGAGAAATGAGCTGTTAGATGCCACCTTGGAACTGGAAGACCTCCATCAGGGAGTAAGAGCTTGTGAGGGTAGTCTTATAGGAAGAGTTATAGGGGAAAAAATAGCTAAGTTCACAGGGGTAAAAAATTTTGCTTCGGCTACTTGGGGATATCCTAGAAATATGACTGTGATGGAGCTCGGACCCAATGTGTTTCAGTTTAACATCCTTAGTGATGATGATAAGGAAAGAATTATCGAGGGGGGTCCTTGGGTGATGGATAACCAAATGTTAGTTTTGAACAAGTAGAAGGAAGGGATAGAAGAGGATTACCGTGCTTTTATGACTGCACCCCTTTGGGTGCAACTTTGGAATCTGCCAGTGCACTGGCTTTCTAAGGAGGTAGGAAAAAAGATAGGGGTAGTATTTAAGGAAGTAAGAGAGGTGTTAATACCTCAGAATGGAGGGAAAGAAGGCAGGCATCTGAATATTTTAGCTTTAGTTGACTAGACAAAACCCCTGCTCAGAGGAACTGTGGTGAAAGTTGTAGGATCACTTAAGTAGGTAGCTTTTAAATATGAAAGG